GGGAGGCTCGCCTTCTCCCGCAGCCTTCAGCACGACGCCGGATCCACGGCAGGCTGCGAGTCAGGGATGAAAAAGCAACATCATCTGAACCTGTTTCCACGGTCGGTGGAGAGCGAGAGCCCCCCAGAAGGGCCGAAAACCGGGGAGATGGTGCTCGCCGCTGAGCACGGAGGAAGCCGGACAGCGTGAGGCGGTGGCTGTAAGAGCTCCGAAATACCAAATGAAAATGCTTCAGAGTGAAATAGTCGTTTCTCTCCACCGTGCCTCATTGCATCGGGGAAGGTTTGGTCCCCTGCAGTCCTCCTGCTACGCCACGAGCACCATCCCTGTTAGCCAGCATCCCTGTTAGCTACTATTAACATGAATAGCCAGCGGAGGGACTCCGCTTCTTCCTGCGGGATGGAACGGCCTTTGGAGAGAGGAACAGATTTATTATAACACTTGATGTTACTTATCATTAAATCCAAATGATTTTACCTAGGTTCTTTTTGTCACTCGGCACAGGGTTGAACTATTTTAACAGGCATGATTTGGGGGTTGGACTAGATGGCCTTTAAAGGTCCCTTCCAACCCAACCCATTCTATGATTCTATGATTTCTGCGTCTTTATTAAACACAGTTATGAGGCCTGACTAACGCATGCCACTGAACTTCACCCAGCGGCTATCAAGATAGTGCTCCTGACTGGTTTTGACCTCGAAGGATTGTTTTTCCCCTGGGTTGTTCCTCACAGTGGCACTGGGGCGAACGATGGGCATCGGCTGCTTGGGTGAATCAGTGGCACGGGCAGCCCAGGAATGCACGGCTGGGACGGGCCAGCATCTGCGCTGGGTGACCAGGAGGATGCTGAGATGTGGCTCCCTGGGTAAGCGCTGTGCTTGGGGACAGAAAGGCCCCAGCCTGTACTTTTTGGCAACGTTTGCCAGCAGTGTCCATCTCTGTTCTGCTTTAGAAATCAACCTGGATGCCCAAATCCAGCCACGGGTCCAGGTTTGCCCTGACTGCTGCCAATATCAACCAGTGAAACAGCCCGGGACTTACCCCAGGTAAGGCAGAGCAGTGCAGGAGGACAGTCACGTCCCTCAGACGTGCTCTTCCACTCCCCAAGCCCTGCGGTCACCCCACAGGGGTGAGGGAGTGGGGGGAAGCGCTGCCAAACCAGAGCTCCCATGGGTGCCAGCACCCAGGCAGGGGCAAGGCGAGGCAGGGTGCTCCTGTGTTTTAGGGTCTCCGAAGCTCCCGTTCCCATCCCCTTGTGCTGCCTGCAGAAGGGAGGGGCAGGGGAGGAAGAGGGGGATTTTTTTCTGGTTTCACCATAGGAAGGATTTCAAACCCTATAAATTCACTTTTGACAAGTGAACGGCTAAAGCAGATTAACCTTTTTGCTAATCCTCTATAATGGCTTTGGAATCTCCTTAACCAATAAGAAAATGATAAGAGCCTGTTTCTTTTCTTTTTATCTATATCTATATTGTCCTCCCTTGTCTGCATTTTTTTTCTTTCTTGTTTTATTTTCCTTCCCTTTTCTAATATGAAATAGCCCAGCGATCCTATCTCCTGGAGGCTCAGTAAACAGAACATCAATAATCCCTTTCCTTTATTCCTCTCCGGTAACAGGGTGCAGAGAAGTGTCTGCCGATTGGGATTTGATTACCAGCAGCTATCAAAAGTCTCTTTGTAAGATCTGGGTCCTAAATCCCATAATTCTTTGATAAAAGAAGTATTACCAGTCCATTTTCTGAAGTGAAAGGTACGGGAGGAATGAAAGAAAGCAATCAGCAGAGATCCTAATAGGCTAAGTGCATGTGCGGTGGGAAGGCAGGGACGGGTAGGGGAGGCCAGGGAAAGGCGTCCTTTGTTAAGGATGGGGAAGGAGAATTAATCCGCTTCAGGCCTATGATTATTACAGCCGAGAGCAGAAAGGGTCGGATCCTGCGCCTGCCCACGGCACGTCCCAGCTCGCCTCCCCTGCCGTTGCTCTGGACCGGCATGGTGTGGGGAGCAGAACCCGGCCCCACATCCATCCCCTGTGTCAGCGTTTGGGCACATGCATAAAAGCTGGGAGCAGTTTGCAACGATCCCTGGCGTTAGTGCATCCCCAGTGCCTCTCTGGAGCACTGACACCTTGGCAGGGCAGCAGTGAACACGTCCAGACCAGGCGGCTACAGAGGCGTCTTCCTCTCAAACCTACAGCAAATATATGAAGATTCATAGAGTGTGGTTATAACTTATGTTACGCCATCGGAATAGCTGAAGGAGAGGCAAATAAAGGGATGGAAGAAAAAGTAGTGGTTTGGTTTTAAGTGAGATTTTACAGAGATTTGAGGGTCACAGGTAGAGCGGCTATGGGGCATCTCTTCCCGGCGCTGGGAGACCAGCAGGGTGAGGAAGGGCAGGCAGAAAGCAGGGCCAGGGAGAAAAGAACAGGGACTGAGAGGGGGCTCTCCGGGAGACTGGCTCTCATGTCCGCGTGATGCTGGAGGGTTTGCTGGGCTGTTCAGCATGAAGTCGCAAGGTGCCACGAGGACCTTAGATGTGCAATGGTTTCACAGCAGTCACCTGTCTGTCTCCTCGGTGTACCGTGAGTGGGACTGGTATCTTCTCTCCCCTGCAAAGAAACACCAAGCAGGAGAGCATTCCCCACATGAGCTCCTGAAGCCTTGCTACTCGCCTTGGCTTAAACTGCACTGAGGGCAAGAGAACTTGGCTTTAAACTTTCCTAAGCAACCTGAGCTCAACCAGACCTTCTTTATTTTAACCCCATCTACTCATTTCAGTTATAAACCCAAGATGGAAGATGTCCTCTCTCCTCCTGTGGATCGCATCTGCCAGGCCCTGCTGTTTGCCCTCAGGAGAGTGGGTGCCAGGCGTCCCCTCCCATCCTCAGTCACCGCTCTTGGCCGTAGCCTCACCCCAGTTTCTCTTGCTGGACAGAAGAAGTTGGGAATTGAACTGACAAAACTTTGGGGAAGCCTGGCTGCCCCCGGCAGCCATCCTGGCTGCTCGGGGCTCCCTGAACCACCCATTAGCTGTGGCACCAAGACCATGCTCCTGCCCGAGCTGCTGTAGGACCTCACTGCCTGCCTGCACACGGAGGCAGCAGGCAGCAATCGTCCCCTTCCCTTCCCGATGCTGAGCAGGGGTACAGCTCAGCTGTACAGGAGGTGGCTACATGCCACTAAGCAACGTCACAGAACTGCCATGAGCTACCAGTAATCTAATTTATTAAGGGCTTTGAATCCTTGCAAAGAGTACGTTGGATACATGCAAAGCATCTGCATTATCGCTATGATTAGAGCAGCAGAGGTGGGGGAAAGGGGAAGGAGGGAAAATACAATTTTTCTGCTTTCAGCAGAAAATAAATCAACTTTCACAGAGAGTTCTGGCACAGCCAAAGGCTGTGCTATCATTAAAAATTATTTTTTATTAAGCTGAACTCTCTCCTCTCTCATATTGTATGATATGACAGCTCTCTTTTGATGGGAAAGCTTTCATTTGGCCAGAGAAAGGGATAATTTGCTTCTTTTAAGGAGTTAATCCTCTGGTCCATTTCCGGGCTGGGAACAGCTATCCTCCCCCTTCCTTGGATCGGAGGCGGCAGCACAATGGAGATCATAACCACCTCAAATCTACACCCGAGATGGAGAAATCAGATTTCCTTCCCCGGTCATTTTTGTGGGATTAGCTAAATCTTAGATCCAGACTAACCCTTCACAAAGCTGCCAAGATTAGTTAGAATTTATTTTATTCACAGGGGGGTTTACGGTTTTCTTTCCAAAGGGATTATATCTCTCTCTCTATATATATATTTAGGGTGGCTTCAGTTATAAAGCAGCTAGGTTACAGGGAGAAAAAGTGCATGTGCGTATAAAATAAAAACTTGGCTGCAAGAATGACAGTCACTTGAAACGCCAAGACAAGGCAGTGATCCCAGATGGCTTCGCCGGTCCGTTTTAAAAGCTACGTAATCTGTCCTTTTCCTTGCGAGACCCCACTCCAGAGTTAGCACACGGAGAACAAACCCCGCTCAGCGTGAGCTGCCTGTTCCTGTGGCCACTGCTGCCGGCAGAGGATGTCTTCGGAGCCAGCATCGGACGCCGATGCCGGCAGGAGAGGCCTCAAGAAGCCGTGTTCGTTCAGCATCGAGGACATCCTCTCCAGCCCAGCAGAGAAGACCCCCCAGGTCCTGGTCCCGCTGTGCCTGCGGGGCATCTTGGACTGCGCACCCAAGGGGCTGTGTGAGCTGGAGGCCATCCCGGCCAGCTCCCTGCAGGAGGAAGAGGAGGAGGAGGAGGAGGAGGAAGGGGAGCTGGAAGGGGCAGGCTGCAACTGCTGCTGCTGTTCTCACACGAGCACCCGTTCCCGGCAGGACTTGCCGAGTTGGCTGGGTGAGTGTTTGGGTTTGTTTCACGGCGTAGGGCTCATGGAGGGGCTGGTGCCAGTGCTGGGTGGAGGGGAGAACCTGGGCGTCGAGTGACAATATAGCGTCTGGCCTGCCACCACGGTCGTCTTCTCAGATCCCAGCTCCGGCGAGGGGCAGCAGGATCCATTCTCAGCACAGCTCCCCAGAGCAGGCACTTTTACCTGCAATGCTACCAGGTTTTTAAAAGCAGCAGGGACTATTTATTACTGTCTATTACTGTTTTATTGTAAAACACTTGAGAGGATGATGCTTCTAGGGGTGGAAGTTCTCTGTGGAGTGTGGGCCCCATGGTCATGCTGCCTATGCACAGAGCTGTGCCTGTGCTTCCTGACAACGCTGGCCCTGGGGAGCCTCACTTGCTCTTTAAGGAAAAGAGTTTTTGGCTACATCTAGCAAAATTACTGCATCTAGCAAAAAAAAAAAAAAAAAAAAAAGGGGGAAAACCCT